GCGGGGTGCTACTGCGGGGATCCCCTAGTTAGTCCTTAGGGTGCTAGCTGGGCCCCTCGTAGATGGAGTTTTGTCATCACGGTCACAGGTGTTTCGGGCGTGACGCGGTGTTTCTGCGTTGCTGTTCCTGGTCCTCCCCCGCCCAGGCCTCTGTCCGTCTCTGCCTCCGTTAGTGTCCAGTGTCCCATCTCAGCTCCCAGGGGCTCTGTCCCTCGTTCTTCCATCTTCCGCTTCCCTCTGCCCCCGGGTTGGACTCTAAGGGGTGTCTGTGTCACTGCGTGTCTCCCCCATCCCCTCGCTCCCCAGCCCCTACCTCTGAGCCCCTCCTCCCCAGGCCCTGGTGCTGCCCAGCCCGCGCTCCTACGTGCGGGCGGACGGGGCCGTGGCCCCCGACCACTGGCTGGAGCCCAGCGCCGTGTGGGAAGTCAAGTGCGCCGACCTCTCTCTGTCCCCCATCTACCCCGCCGCCCGCGGCCTGGTGAGTGACGGGGCCTGGAGCGGCCCCTCCCGGGGCTTCCAGCCGGAAGCGCGGGGCGGGGGCCTGGGCACGGCTGCGCTTCCTGGGCGGCCGTCAGGAGGACTTGAGCTTGGGGTTTATTTGGGAGTCAGTTAATGGGGTCGAAAGTTTTTCTTTTTGTTAAAAAGAAATTCCCCAGGACTAAAAAGAAAACAGTGAAATTGCCGCCTTTACTCTCACAATTCAACCCTTAGGGGATTTTGAAAACACAGTTTTTTTAAGTAAAAGCTGAGGACACGCTGCCCTTACTCTCACAATTCAACCCTTAGGTGATTTTGAAAACAGTTTTTTTAAGTAAAAGCTGAGGACACTTCCTGCTGCATTTCTCTCAACTGTAATTAATTTTCATGCCACAGAGTTTGAAAATTCCTTCTCTCACTAGCGGCTCCATAAAAGGTCGGGGCGGGACAGCTCTTAGCTTCCTCCTTCAGAGGAGCGGGAAATCGCGCATTTAAAATGTTCCTGAGGTTCTTTCCCACCCTTCAGCATCTAGCGTTTCTGCTGAGAAGCAGACTTCCATTTTAAGGCGGAACTCATATTTTTGAATCTGGTTTCTTTTTTGAAATTTCTCACTTTGCTGCATCTTAGAAAGCCAGGGACCCCAGGTAGCAAGTGACGGGAGCAGCGAGCACAGAGCGTTTATGTGACGTGGACATGTCACTCGTGTGCACTTATTTAGTCCTCGCACAGAAACACCGAAGGGCCCCATTTCACCGAGGGGGAGATAGAGCCCCAGGGGGCCCAGCTGGGTGGCCTGAGCCCTCACGGCTCCTGGGCGTTGGGACCCGGGATTCAAGCCCCACGGCCTGGTTCCAGAGTCCGTCCCGGCCGCTCTAGCCCTCGGCCCTAGTGACAGTGTCCGTGTCAGCCCCGCAGCTGGCATTTCCTAAGCGTTCGATTCCCACGCTCGTTATTACCTCATTCAGCCCTTACGGGAGCCCATTGCCCAGCCCCACCCCCACCGTGTGGGTCAGGAGCCAGGGGCTGATAGATGGGGGTTGGTGGGGACCCATCGCCACCCCACCTCCTCAGGTGGACAGCGAGAAGGGCGTCTCCCTGCGCTTCCCTCGGTTCATCCGCGTCCGTGAAGACAAGAAGCCGGAGGAGGCCACCACCAGTGCCCAGGTGAGGCCCTCGGAAGGGATGGCTGCCCGGGGGCGATTTCCTGGCCAGCTCGGAGGAGTGGACTGTGCCCTGGAGCGGTGTGGAGGGGTGGGGGGCAGCCCCGGGACTAATGACCGCCTGCCCCTCCCCCAGGTGGCCTGTCTGTACAGGAAGCAGAGTCAGGTTCAGAACCAGCAAGGCTCACACTCGGAGTCCGACCCAGAGGATTTCTACTAGGCCCCGCCACCCGGGCCGGGTGGGGGACGCCTCCCTGGTGGCAGGTCTGGTGTGCAGTCAGGCCGCGTGGCGTGTGTGTGAGCGGGTGGGTTCAGCCGGGGTCTGGGATTTATTTAGTTATTTTTTTCAATAAATAATTATTGAACACCTCTGTGTCAAGGTCTGTGCAGGCTCTGGGGCACACTGTGACAGCTCACACTTAGGGAGCGTGTGGTAGTGTGCCAGGAATGGCCCAAACCAGCATCCGACAGAACTTCCCATAGCCCCACCCCCGGCCTGTGCAGCATGATGGCCACCGGGCGCCAGAACTGTAGCCACCATGACTGAAGACTCAGATAAATGTCACTTAGCCCTTTGCGGAGTAGCTGTTACATGGGACCGTGGCTAATGCAGTGAACTCATAAACTCAGACTCGCCGCGCCTCCTAGCGGCGTAGCCAAGCCAGTGCTGTCCCAGCTGAGGACAGGGAGCTGGGGCTGCAGCCGGAGGGCCAGCACCATGGGTCCGACCTGGCAGCCTGGCTCCGGGCCCATCCTCTTTGGAGACGGTGCAATGACTTGTGTAAGACTCCTGGCTCTGTCACCCACCACCCGGTGACCAGCCTGGCCTCAGATTCCCCAGCCCCTGGCACAATGCCTGACAGGTGGTCGGTTCTGTTTTTCTCAATCAAAAAGATCTGGTTGTGGCTGCCCTTCTCTTCCACATGTGATGGTCGGAGCTGCAGCTGCCACCTTGCGATCATGAGGAATGAGCCAGGAGAGCCGCAGAGAAAGTAACCCCGACAACCTTCACCAGGGAGCCACAGGCAGCAGCTGCCTAACTGGGCTCCTTGTCATGGGGACGGGGCGATTATGCCACCGTTAAAATGGCTTTTGCTTCTCAGCTTAAAGTTGCTAACGGAAAGCTCTACCTGAGGGGACTGGCAAACTAATGGGTGTCCATACATTTTTGTCAAGTTCAAGTAAAACGTTTAAGGCCCAGTAATACCTTTTCAGTTAGATCTCAGATGTTGTGTGTCTGGGAGTCCCCATGTCAGTCTGGCTCCACGTGGATCCCCACAGTTCCCTCAGGTGTGGAGCTGGGTCCCCCCGAGGGAAGCTGGGCCGGGGACATGCTCTCCTCCCCACGCCCCTGCAGCGTCCTGCAAACACCTCCCCAGCAGCCGTGGCCGCCCTGTCCCTCTGCCAGGCCTGGGCGGGACGTCCTCACTCGCAGAAGACCCTCGTGACAGCCCTTCTTGGTAGATACTTTTATTATCCCGTATAACAGATGGGGACACGAAGGCACAAGAATGACAAACTCAGAATCCCTAGGTCCCCCCACCATCCAGGAAACGGAGGACCAGGCACCGGCCCTCGCCGTCTGCCAGAGGCTCTGCATGGTCAGCCGCCAACGACAGTGCCTCTCGAGAGCCCCATGTGCCCCTGAGAGGATGTGGGGCCTCGTCCCCAGGCAGGGAGGTGACGCGGGTCTGGGAGTGAAGGATCACGCCGCTGTCTGCCATGCCGGTGTGGGGGTGTGAGGGGGGGGACAGTCTGCAGGAACCGTAACTCCTCACCGCATGCAATCGAAACGCAGGATTTCCGTTTGTCACACTACCGACGACGTTCATTCAGTACAATCATTTGGTTGATGGCTTCCGCCTGGTTCCCCTGTCCTTTGAAATTACTCTAAAGGAGGTGCTTTGAGCTATGCAAATATTATCAAAGTCTCCACTTCTCATTTCCATGGGTATGGACTCCTGGTTTTCTATGTGATTCTATAGAATTTATTATTCGTTTCGATTTTCAAGTTGCCCCTGATATGGCCAGTGGAACTTTTTCAAGCCGATCTCTGTGTTCTTTTGACGTGTCCCCGTAACTCCTTGAGCATATTCTCGATTTGCGGCACGGCGGGATGCTTGAGGTTCACCTTACTTACACGTGTCGTGCTCTAGACGTGGGATCAGCCGTTTCTCGAGTTTGGGTTCCTTTTCGTGGGGAGTGGTGTTGAGGACACAAGATCTGGGCGTGAGAGGTGTTCACATCAGGATCAGGGTGCCACCGCTTCTGTGTCCTCTTAGACAGCTACAGAATACATGGTCAAGCGTCTCAGCCTAGGGACGGCTGTGTTCACGGCGCCTCCAGCTCCAGCCAACGCCACAGAGCTCACTCGACTTTTCCCCTCGGTATGAATAACGCCCCCGTCCAACAGAACCCCGATTCCTGTACCCTTAATACAGTCCCCGCGTGTGACCATCTCCCTTCTCCACTGCCGCCCCGCCCCCGTGGGACCTCTCTCGCCTGGTCTGGCTTCGACACCGCACACCGTGCTGCCCCCCACGAGCGGGCGTCCTCGTGCAGACCCTCACCCTGGGCGAAGGCGATGTCGCCTTCGCAGAGATGGTCCTACCCCAGGCCGCCCCTCCAGGCCACGTGGCCCCTGTGTGGGGACACCCCCTCGCTCCACCTCCCCGTTCGAGTTCTGGTTCCCCACAAAGGCCCCCGGGCCCCTCCCCAACGCCCAGTGTGGACACCCCCATCGCCTCCTTGGGCTCTGACACTGCCATGACTTGTCACTCTCCCCGAGCCCTCCACCAGCGTGGATGCCTGCCTACCTTGCTCTTCACCGCCCCGTCTCCCCCCAAGATCTTCAGGAAGAAAGGAAGGGAAAGGAAGAGCAGAGGAAGACGAACACCCCTGTCAACCACCGTGCATGCCCGCTTGCTGGAGGCAGGCTGTCACGCGAACCTCACGACCCATTCATTGATGCACATTCCCGAAGTACCCAGAGGTCAGGGCCACGTCCCCTCCCTCTTCACGTGCCCGCGGCCAGCAGAGGCCAGGCTTCGAGCGAGCACTCAACATGCCCTCTGCTCTAATCCCCACTTCTCAAACTACTTTTCCAATTCCATTCTGGGGATAAAAGGTCACAGTCCCTGAAGCTGGCTCCCCTCCCATCTCCCTTGAGCCAGATGGGGCGGCAGCAACGATTCTGATCCCTCCCCAACCCCAGGAGAGATTTCCAACCCAGCTGTCACAGCTCTGTGACCCTGGGACCGAGGGAGAGGCCAAGAGAGGCAGGAAGAGTTGGCAAAGAAGTGACAGAGGCGAGAAGGAGGCCGAACCACCAAGGGGCCGGGGAGGAGGGGGAGCCGTCTTGACGCTGGCGCCGGGCGAGCCCCGCCCCTCCACCCCCATGCAGGTCCCCATGGGCCCCGCCTGCATCTTCTTGAGGAAAGGAATTGCGGAGAAACAGCGGGTGAGGCGGGGACAGAGGGCGGGCGGGGCGAAGGCAGCCACGGAGCACGGCGAGGACACGCGGGCGAAGCGGGAAGTCGGGAGCGAACGCGGGGAGATGGAGGAGGGGAAGCAAGGGGAGACGGGGATGATGTCGCCATGGACCATCATCACGGTTTTCCATGGACACCTGTCCTGGTGGCCATGACGACAGCCATGGTAACGGTAGCTGCCGCTTATTAAGCCATCGCTAGGCGCGCAGCCCCGTGCCAAGGGCTCTGCGTTCCAAGCGCCAGTCCTCGGAGTGACTCGCGAGGGTGGGAATACTTTCCTTCCCATTTGACGGATGAGGAAACTGAGGCTCTGAGTCGTGAGGTCCCTCGCTTTAGGCTTACGCAATCGGTAAGTGGCAGGGCCAGTTCTGTTGGATGCCAGTGGGCGTGCTTCTAATTCCTAGGCTTCAAATCACCCCCAAAAAATAGAATAAAAAGAGGGAGGGGATTTAGGGGCTAGGGAACATGAGGGGCTCGGGGAAAGGTTCTAGGATCAAGGGACGTAACGGGTGACAGAGGCCAGAGGCTGGAAGTCGCCGGGATGTCATGCCTCGTGGCGAAGCCGTCTGACCCTCCCGCGTGTCCAGGAGTGGGTGGCAGCGACGGTGACTGGAAATTCTTAAAGGTCTTAGGAACCGATCGTGCTGGCTCGGATCACCGCGTCTGAATGCCACCGAACGCTGGTCCCACGCGACGGGATTCTAGCTCTCGGCAGAAAGGGCGGAGGCAGCTGGGGAGAGTGGGTGGGATGTAGGGGAAAGAAGTCTGGCCTGAGCGTCAGGAACCCCCGAATTCAAATCCCGGCGTTCCTTGCGCCCGACTTGCTGTGCCACCTGACGGGGGCGCTGATTTCATGTCTCTGCCTGGGGAGGAGATCTGCCACTGATAAACTGTGTGACCTCGGGTAGGTTCCTTGACTTCTCTGTCCCTCGGCTTCCTCTTACACGAGATTGGAATGATACGCGGATCGACCTCGCGGGGCAGTTCTGAGGTGTGAACGATCGTGGCTGCTGCCCCCGGCACGGTGGCACGGATGTCTTTTTGAGAAAACCAGGAGACAAATCAAGATTCAGGGATGGGAGAGAGGGAACCACAGGGGTGCAGAAGAGGGTGGGAAGCAAGTAACCGTGGCGTGGGAGTCGGGAGGTGGGAGGAGGGCTGGGGAGAGCGGGAATGGGCGGGGGAACAGGAAAGGGGGTGCGTTGGGAGAACTGGGTGTGGAATCCCTGACCCTCTCTCCAGCTCCCTCTTCCTTTCATCCCTCTCCAGGAAAGACCGCTGGGACAAGACGAGATCGAAGGTAACGCGCTTCCTCCCAAACGTCCCCACGTCGCCGCCCACCCACCTCCTGCTCTCTGTCCCTTCGTGCGTTTCGGTGTAAAGTCTCTCCCATAAAAATTTTGCATCGCTCTCTCTTTCCACTCAACCGTGATTTTGTGGGACCCTGTCTCACGGCGGCGGGGGTATCCCCAAAAGTACTTAGAAGGCACGCCCATCCCCAAGTGTCTCGGAGACCCCGGAGTGACACATGAGCTTTAGAATGAATCGAAAACTGTCGGTTTTTCTTTTGATGGTTTCAAAGTTTCCCATAATGTCACCCAGGAGCTGAAAGGACTTTGGTGCCGCCGTTTGGAGGTCTCAGGAATCATTCCTCTTGCTAACACGTTTTTAAAAATGTGTGCCCCTCCAAAAAGTCTCTAGCGTGTGCCTCGTTGATGGTTTCAAGGGATGCCGCCCTTCCTCATTGGCTGTTTCAGGTTCCCCCAAAGTTCTTCCCTCTTGACTTTCAGAGCTCCGGGAGGCGTTCCTTGAGTTCGACAAAGACCGAGATGGGTTCATCTCTTGTAAGGATTTGGGAAACCTCATGAGGACGATGGGTTACATGCCCACGGAGATGGAACTGACCGAACTGGGCCAGCAAATCCGCATGAACTGTGAGGCTGGGGGTGGGAGCGGGGGGAATGAGTAGGGTCAGGGGTGGGCTAAGGGTGGAATTTGGAAGGATCTGGAGGTTGAGAGTAGAGTTGGAGTTAAGGGTAAGAGGGTAAGAGGGCCTAGAAGTCTGGGAGGAAACAGTTCAGACTATACTTAGGGAGGCAGGACTTGGAGCGGTGAAAAGGGTGACTTTTAGAAATAGATTTGGGTTCAATTCCCAGTTTTCTTGTTTATTAATTGTGGTCATTTTGAAAAGTGGAATTAATCTCCACTCTTGAGTGTCAATTTTCCCCATTCGTCAAGTGAAAATGACATCCTTCCTTACCTTGTGGGATTGTAGAAAGGAAGGGATAAAGTTGCTAATGAAGGCAAAGTCTTAGCCTCTAGGAAACACTTATTAAATGTAGGTTATTACTCTCGCCACTAAGATTCATCAGTGGAGCATAAGACTGTAACTGTATTTGATGCTAGAAACAAACTTGGACTTGGAGCTCATGCTGATGAATGGTGTCGCAAAACGGATGGGTATTTTTAGATGGTGACCAGAGCAGATTTTGAGATGGAAGCCGGGCTTAAATTGCTATTGGATTTGTTTCTGGGCATGTTACTGAGTAAACAAGGTCGAATTCAAGGATGTCATAGTATTCACATCTGGAAGAGACTCTGGTGTTTATTTAATTCATACTCTCGCTTCTGCAGATGTACAGATGAGGGAACGCGGATCTGAACCAATTAAGAGATTTGCTCCAGGTCATACGGACAGTTAATTACTTCTGTCCATCGACCCCTGTTCAAATTGGGAACAAGAGGGCTTGAGCTGACTGAGAGAGAAAGCTCCCAGGAGGCAGAGAGATTGGAGCAGATCTATTTCTTGAACAGACTTGAGGGTGGGTGAGGTAGTGGAGGGTTGGGGCAACAGAATCTCACTAGACCTGCCTTTTCCTCCCTCAGTGGGTGGCCGTGTAGACTTTGACGACTTTGTGGAGCTGATGACCCCAAAATTGCTTGCAGAAACGGCTGGGATGATCGGCGTCCAGGAGATGCGAGATGCCTTCAAGGAAGTGAGTTTCATAATGCTGGAGGTGGTTAAAGGAGACTCCAGAGGTCAATGATTAGTCGTCAGTCGTGGATAGGACCCACTCGAACCGAGGTTTCTCTAGCGGTGGTGGGCTTTCTAGGGAAGGAAAATCACATGTCTCAAGCACTTGCAGTGGATAAGTTCCTCTACCCATTTTATCTAACGTAACCCTCACAAATGTTTTTAGTACATGTGCTGCCGAAGTGAGCACGTAACCCTCACGAATAAGAGTATGAATCAATAGTCATTTATCCTCATCATACATATGAGGGAACAGAGGCTCGTGGAAATTACAAATCTTATCCAAGATCCCGCAATCTCCAAAACACATGAGGACCTCGAAGCTTCGTGCTTACAATGGCAAGGAATCCGAGAATTTGAGGTCCCGGAAAGGGACTCAAAGAGATAGTGTGGTTTAATCCACTTGTAGAGATGCTTAAAATATGAGGCTCAGGGAAGGGGTGTGGGGACTGGCTGGATTCACGTCTATCCCCTGGTAAAAGGATTTCCTCACTCAGAGAGCTTTCGATTATGAGACAAAAACAATGAAAAGTGTAGAATGTGGAAGGAAAGACTCTAGCAGCGGGCCAACGTGGGTTCGAAATGCAGGGAGATCCCCATGCATTGGCTGTGGGACCGTCTCTCTAGAGCTGCAGCGTCCAGCAGAACTTCCTGTGGTCACAGAAATGCTTTGTCCCAGACAGTAGCCGCCAGTCCCTTGTGGCTGTCAAGCCCTTGAAAGGTGGCGGGTGTGACGGAGGAACCGAATTTTTAATTGTATCTAATTTTGATGAATTTTACTTAAGTTTATGTAATTTCTATGTATATCCAGTTGACTATCAATTCAATCGGTTTCCATTTAAAAGCCAATACTCGATACAATGATTTTTGCAACGACTTGGGTATGCGAGTTTCCTTTTCGAGCAAAAATCTTACGCTGCTCTGGGGGAATCCTCATGTGGGCTGAGGAAGAGCTAGAAACCTGGGTGCTTGGCGAAGTGTGAGCTGGGGAGAAAGCAGCGTGAAACAAACAAGATCTCAGAGCTGCCGAAGGCAGATCCCGACCACGTGGGCGTCGTGGGTCATGGGGCGGCATCAGGAGTTTATTCCGAGTGGGGTAGGAAGCCACGGAGGATTTTAAGCAAGGGAGTGACAAGGTCTGATTTGTTTTCAATCAAATGCGAATGTGAATCCTGGTGTGTGGACCACGGGCCGTGTACATGGGAGCCAGAGGGACAGATCAGGAGGCTGTCGCAATCATCGAAACCAGAGATGACCGTGACTTGAGCCGGGTTAGCGTCTGCGTGGCTGGAGAAGGGTATCTGGCTCCCAATATATTTTGCAGGTGGAGCCTGCAAGACTTTCCAGTAGATTGGTTTAGGGTATGCAGCATACAGGTTTGCAGGTAGTTCGTTAATTCAACAACTATTTATCCAGTGCCTACCATGTGGGAGGCACTGAGCTGGAGCAGTGAACGAGGCAGTCAACATGACGCGCCTGCAAGGAGCTGACATTCTCGTGGGTGGTACACAAAAGCTCTTCGTCTGAGTCACAGTAGGTGATCGATAAATGCCGCTGTTATTATTATCATTATTATTGTCCCCGTCGTTGCTAATACAGCTGACCCTTGAACGACATGAGTTTGAGCCATGTGGGTCCACTCGAGTTTTTTTCAGTAAACACATTGGAAAATTTTTCAGAGACGTGCAACCATTCGCCAAACCTCATGGCTGATCCTTAGGGTTTTTCTTCATCACGTTTTCTTTTCTCTAGTCTTACCTTGTTGTGAGACCGTGGTATAGAATTCAGGTGACACACAAAATATGTGTCAACTGACAGTTCATGTTATCGGTAAGGCTTCCCATTAGCAGTTAAGTTCTGGGGGTGTCAAAAGTTGTAGGTGGATTTTCAACCGCGCGGGGGTCGGTGCCCCCAGCTGCCACGTTGGTCAAGGGCCACTCGCGTTTCCCTCTTCTGCCCCTAACAGTTTGACACCAATGGAGACGGTGAGATCACCCTGGGAGAGTTGCAGCAGGCCATGCAAAGGCTTCTGGGAGAGAAGCTCACCCCTCGGGAGATCTCCGAGGTTGTCCGTGAGGCCGACGTGAACGGAGATGGCACCGTTGACTTTGAAGGTGACGCCTCTAGCCCCGACACCCCGTGTGATTCCCCAAGTCAACCCTTCCTTCCCACTCCTCCCCAGCTCGAGGCTGGGTGGCGGGTGTTGGAAATGTTTCTGTGGTGTCCCTTTCTGCCCGTGTCATTTCAGAGAGCTCGGTTTCTCTTACCTCTCCTTGTTTCTGTCCCCGGCTGCTCCTTGGACCACTCTGTCCCCATTGCTACCCGAGCTCAGGCAGGACTCACTTCCATGCCCTCAACCCCCCGCCCCTTCTTGTCCCCTGGTGCCTTTGTCATAGGAACAAAACGTCCCCTCAGAAGGCGAGGAGACTGATTCATAGCTGGGACTCTCTGGGGTCAGATTCCTGGAGTTCAAGTTCAGGATCATCTCCTGTGGCCTTCTCCTGGTCACTTACTCGAGTTAAGGGTCAGTTTTCACATCTGTGAAATGGGGGTGATAATGGCACCTTTCTGCCAAAGTTTTGAAGAAAACTTAAAGAAATCATGCACCAAGCTCCCTTCCCTGTCATCACGCACGCCGGCGTTCTCGCCTGGAACACCCCGGCCGACTCTTAGTTATGCCCCTGGGAAGTGTTCCCCTCCTCTCGTACTGGGCTCGGCGTCCTTGTTTGTGACCCTATAGCACCCACGCATGCTCCGGCAGCAGTCTTGGTCCATGACATTACGCCAGCAGACGTGGGTTTATAGCCTGTCCCCTTCCGAGGTCATGCACTCCACCTTCCATCACGAAATCCCCAAATCCTAGCCCAGAGTTCAACACGGAAACAACTGGGTAAATCAAGATTGGAGTCCCGCGTGGATGGGCGCGGAGATCATTTCTGTGGGAGACGTAAATAGGATATGTCAAACTCGAATTGTAATGCTCTCTGGTTCAAAAGTCTCAGCATCGAACTGCTGCCTAAAGACCAAAGTCTAAAATTCTTAGTCTGACATTCAAGGTCATCTACGATCCAACGGTCCACCACCACCCCACCACTCCCGCCCACCAACCCCAGCTGTGTCTTCCACAGCCACCCTCTGATTTTTTATGTTCTGGCACACACTTGGTACCTACTCTGCCTTCTCCAACCTCCGCCCTTTCTGCCTGGTGTACCTTCCACTTACCCCACTTTCTCGTGTCATCGACGCCTTTCCAAATCTTATCCATCCCTTGGGAATTCGCTCCATGCAACCTCTGCTAAGAAACGTCCCTTCAGTACACTTGAAAACTATATAATTTTATTAACCAATGTCACACCAATAATTTTAATTAAAAAAAAAAAAAGAACTTTCTTTCACCATGAGCTGGTGAAAGTCTCACAGATATACTTTGTCACCGAGGCATGGCTGCGACTTAGCAAATGTTTGCTGGATGCCTGCTTATCCAGCCAGGCTCAGGTGTGCAGTGGGCATCACTGAAGACCTGGAGGAGGAGGGAGATAGATGTTTGAGGAGACAGAGCCTCAGGCCCACCACAGGTAAGGGCAGGGGACAGACAGACTGACCTCCAGACCTGGATGGGGCCACCGAGTTCATCTGGAATCACAGCAAAGTTAGGTACAACCTGCATTCATTCCAGGGTTCACCACTCGTGTGACCTCAGGCACGTTTGGTCAATCTCGCTGGCCTCAGTTTGCTTGTCTGTAAAATAGTGCTTACTCCTCCAGGACCAGTTGGAAAGATGAAATCAGACACCCGTAATTACTATTTATTTAACACTTACTATGTCTTATAGGCATTATATTGTTTGACTATACAAGGTAAATCTCCATTGGTAGATAAAGGTGTAGAGGGGACAATTAACTTCCCAAAGATCACCAGTGGTTTCTGACACATAGTAAGGACTCAAAAAAAGTCACGTCAGCTGCTCTTACAAACAGACGCCTCACCGGGGACTTTTCTCTGCAGAGTTTGTGAAGATGATGTCTCGCTGAGAAGGTTCTGGAAGCCCCAGTCGCTCCCCACCCGGGCAATGTGGATGGAGCGCTCGCTCATGGAGGACCGAATCCCCCAGGAGGGCCGGGGAGGGCGTGCGGTGACCGGACTGAAAAGCCCCGGCTTTGCCCTGATGGGGTGAGGGAGAAGCCACATCTCTAGGACTAGATAAAGAAAGAAGCACCTACACGTGGAAACGTGACTGGACTAGCGTCCCATCACCGCTCCGGACGTTCCAGAGACGAGTGACATCTGTCGACTTCACGGAACCCTAAGTCCCTACGCCCCGCCAGGCTCTCCCCAGCTCCGTCTCGGGTCAAGTTAGTTTTTGCTCCTGGTAGACTCAGAATGTTCAGCACATAGTCTTTCTTCCGTCCTTCCCACTCCCCTGGCTTCGAACCCCTCCGGTTCGTTCTCTCGTAAGAGGCAGACACGCCAATGACACAGTGAGGCACAGCGTTCTTGATAAGACTGGACTTGGAGACGGTTCATTAAAGATGGTTTCGAGGATGTGTTTATCTCCAAACTCATCAAATTGTTTTTGTGCGTCTATCATACTGCAATTTAAAAATAAAAATAAAAATTTAAGGCTATAAACTCCTTTTACAAGTCAAGAGGGGGAAAAAGAAAGAAAGAAAGAAAGAAAGAAAAGGAAAAAGAGACAGTAGCCTAAGCTTACTCCGTTTTCTTGATTTCCTGGAAGTACAGTCTGCTCCTTTTTCTCTGGCCTCCTACACCCTTTTCCTTGTGTAAGATGCTCAGGCCACCGAATTAAATCACAAATCTGGATTATCGAGGTTTAGGGCGAGCTGATCCCCAGGGAATTAATCCCCCGTAAAATGTCATCTTGCAGAGAGAGAAAGAGAGAAACGAGAGAGAGAGAGAGAGAGAGAGAGAGAGAGAGAGAGAGAGAGAGAGAGAGGGAGACAGAGAGAGAGAGAGACAGAGAGAGAGAGAGAGAGAGACAGAGAGACAGAGAGACAGAGAGACAGAGAGAGACAGAGAGACAGAGAGAGACAGAGAGAGACAGAGAGACAGAGAGAGACAGACAGACAGAGAGAGACAGAGACAGACAGACAGACAGACAGAGGACTCGTATCCCGACAGGACCTGCGCTGTGAAGCTGGAACCGTATATCCCTCCTCACCTCTTCCTATGAGCGGGACACTTCAGCGTCCCAAAGGTCCTCAGGCCATCAGGCCGTGCCCTCCCGCGAGGCTCTCACGCTTTGAGCTCCGTGGAGGCGCGGGACAGAGCGGCTCGGAGGCCTCGCTTTCATGCAATTTCAGTGTAAAAAGATGGAACCAGAATCACGTATTTCCTCAGCCCTTATCACGGCCGCTCCTTTTTGTCATTCTTCGTTGTCCTGAGATGATTTTATTTTGAGCTTCCTACCCTGTATTCCTTCCTTCCCTTTTCCCCCCTTCCTCCCCTCCTCCACCCTTCACTTATCCAACAGCCACGTCTGAAGCGTTCGCCACAGGTGCAAGGCTCCCTTCTGAGCCTGGGGCTGGAACGGTGAACAAAACAGACCCAAACCTCAGACCCCAGGAGCTTCCGTTACAATGGACGACGAAGAACGAAATCAATGAGCAAACGTAATCACATTTAGACCGTGAGAAGGTGGTAATAGATACGGGGAGAAGCAGAGTAGAAAGGGGGCTGGAGATGTCGTGGGAGTGGGTGGGTTCCTCACCCCACAGGGACATCGGGGTGCTTACTGTGCACTGGGGGCGTGTCTGGGGACAGCGTCTGGGACACGGTGTAGGGTGAGCGCAAAAGCCTTGAGTAGCTGGAGTGTGGGAGGAACAGCAAGGAGACCAGGGTGGCTGGAGGGGGGTGGGCGGGGAGGGGTCAGCGAGGGACCAGGGTTCGCATCATGCCGGTCTGTGAGGATCCTGCAGGGCTTCGCGTGGAGGAGTGACATCATCCAGGTCACCTTTCAAAGGTCACCTCCATCCCACCCCATCAATACACTCGCCACCCCACACACCCCATCCGGGCATTTCCTAACCCCGTTGGGATCATATTTGCCGAGTCCCTGCTATGTGTCTGGCGGTATCCTCGGTAAGGGACCTTGAGTGATCATGGGGTGCATGACCTCGAGGGGCTTATCGTCGAGAGCCACACAATTCAATAGTCTCTTTCTTCCACGATGATGGGAATGTTCTAGATCTGTGCCGTGCGTTACGGCAGCCACCGGCCACATTCAGCTATCGCGTGGTGAATGTGGTAAGTGAGGCCGAGAAGCTGGATTTTGTTTTCTTTTTATGAGGTTAATCACATGTCATTCATAACTGACCGAGCTCACGAATTACTTCGGTGACATGGAAACAGCCCGGCGTGGGCAGCGCCTACTGCACTGGACAGCACGTGTCTCTGCTATGAGCCTGGGATTATTCTGGCTCCTGGAGACAGCCCAGCGATAAGGTCTTTGCTTTCTTGGAGCTTATCGTACAGGGTGAGGGGAAAACAGAAAAAAATGGCTTCAGAGAAGCTTAGATCGGGATGGATGCTCCGAGGAAGATAACTCGGAGCGGTGGTGAGCTGGGGGGATTGGTGGACGGGGGTGGCTGAATCAGGCAGGGCCTTTGGTGGACGGGCTGCCTCATGTCGGGGTCCCAGGGCGCCTGCTCTGTGGGGCGGAGGAGATGAATATGGAGACGTTTATCAAGCAGTGTCCTCGGGCCAACACCTGGGGAAGGAGCTGGGATCAGGCAGAGGGGGAAGCTGAACTGAGTGGAGCGCACGTTCCATAATAACATCAGCCAAACCTGCAGGGGCCCTTCATACGGCTCTCGCTTGGCTTGAAAAGGCCGGATTTTCAAACCTGCCCTCCGTCCGTCCCTGCCTATTATGCACTGGCCTGGGGAGGGCATGGCCTTGGGTGACAGAGGCCACTGTGCCGCTGAGGACAGCTCTGATCTGGCACTGGCCGCAGAAGGCTGGCTGCAGACGGCACTCGCTGGAGCTGGGCACGCCCTCGGTCGAAGAGGTGTCTGGGGAACACCACGCGAACTCCATCCATCGCAGGGCATTTTGACCAGACCGAGTGCAGAGAGGAGAGAGAACGTGGGAGGCGGAGGTCGAAATGGAGCCGAGGGGTCTGGGGACGGGAGAACTGTGCTTCCTGTGGCGTTTCTGTGCGTCATCGCCATCGGGTGAGGACTTATCCTCCGGCCGCTCGGAGCTGAAGCGGGAAAGATCCACCGTCAAATCCTCAGGCTTCTCGCGTGTCTATGAAACATCCTCCTAATCTGACAATCGGATTGGTACTGAATGAGGCTGGATGGCTAAA